ACGGGGACAGGGCTCGCTGTGCTCCCGGGACGGGGCTGGCTCGTCTCCGGCTGCTGGTCCCCAGCCAGGCCCCGGCCGGCTCCCTGCCACGCCATGGGAAGCAGAAATCCCAGCAAGGCCGGAGCTCGGGGCTGCTGGGAAACAGCCCTGTCCCCGAGCCAGAGCAAACAAGCGGCTCGGGGCCTGCCCGGACACCAAGGTGATGGGCACGACCCCTGGGGAGCACTGGGGGTGGTGTGGGGCCTACTGTGGGAACGGGGCAGCAGCAGCTGAGCCAGCGTGGAGATGTCCGGGGGGGGCAAAGGAACAAGTGACACCCCACCTGGATGGGTGGACAGCACCAGCCTCCATCGGGGCTACCCCAGTCTCCTTCCCCCCAGTGCCACCACTGGGGCCAAGATGCTGGTCCCCAGTTGCCTTAGACCAGGGCAGATAGCTGACCCCAGAGATGGCATTTTGGCCATCCCCACTGGGTGAGGGGGGGCAAGGGAACAACAAGTGACACCCCACCTGGATGGAGGGGGGACACACCATCAGCCTCCATGGGGCTACCCCAGTCTCCTTCCCCCCAGTGCCACCACTGGGGCCAAGATGCTGGTCCCCAGTTGCCTTAGACCAGGGCAGATAGCTGACCCCAGAGATGGCATTTTGGCCATCCCCACTGGGTGGGGGGGGGCAAGGGAACAACAAGTGACACCCCACCTGGATGGGGGGACACAGCACCAGCCTCCATGGGGGCTACCCCCGTCTCCTTCCCCCCAGTGCCACCACTGGGGCCAAGATGGTCCCCAGTTGCCTTAGACCAGGGCAGAGAGTTGACCCCAGAGATGGCATTTTGGCCATCCCCACTGGGTTTGGGGGGGGGGTCTGGGGGCAGCTGGGTCCAGTGCAACCCCTCCCGGCCAAATGTGCAGGACAAGACCCTGTGGGTTGACCCCAGAGATGGCATTTTGGCCATCCCCACTGGGTGGGGGGGGGCAAGGGAACAACAAGTGACACCCCACCTGGATGGGGGGACACAGCACCAGCCTCCATGGGGGCTACCCCCGTCTCCTTCCCCCCAGTGCCACCACTGGGGCCAAGATGGTCCCCAGTTGCCTTAGACCAGGGCAGAGAGTTGACCCCAGAGATGGCATTTTGGCCATCCCCACTGGGTTTGGGGGGGGGGTCTGGGGGCAGCTGGGTCCAGTGCAACCCCTCCCGGCCAAATGTGCAGGACAAGACCCTGTGGGTGGTGCAGGGGCAGATGTGGCAGTGATGGGGGGGAGGGGGGAAGGGATGGGGAATCCAGGCTCTTAAAATGGGGCTGATGCAGTGGAAGTGGGGGGGGGACGACAGCAGGATGGGCTTGGGTTGGCATCTGCACCGTGAGTGTCACCTCGTCACCCTTCCCCCTGGCAGGGCTGGAGTCAGGGGGGGCTGGAGGATACCTGTGCCACGGTGGGAGCTGGTGGCTATGGTGGGTGGGAGCAGGGTGGTCCCAGTGAGCCCACAGCGTGGTGGCACCCCCAGGGCTGAGGTATCACCATCCCTCCTTCCTGAGGTGTGCTGAGCTCTGGCGGCCTCAGCGGGATGCCCTCGGCTGAAGGGCAGAAGCAGATCCTTCCATGGGTGAAGGAGCCCACGAAGCTGGGGGTGGAATCTGGGTCCTTCCATGGGTGAAAGACCCCCACGATCCTGCCCACCCGTGGGCCACGGGAGCTGGGCAGACGCCGATCTGGGGGAGTGCAGCATCCAGAGCAGCCACCCCATCCCATGCAGGGTCCCTGGTGTGCCCCACGTGTGCCCCCTGCCCCTGGGAGGGCCCTGAGGCAACACTTTGGGGTTGGGGTCTGAGCTGGAAAACCCAAGGATGCCCATGAAAGCCCCAAACCTCCCTCCCCACATCAGCCCCAGCGCTGCGGGAAATTTGCTAAGCCCTTTCCTTCTTTTCTTCTTTTCTTTCTTTCTTTTCTTTCCTTTCTTTCTTTTCTTTCTTTCTTTCTTTCTTTCTTTCTTTCTTTCTTTCTTTCTTTCCTTCTTTCCTTCTTTCCTTCTTTCCTTCTTTCCTTCTTTCCTTCTTTCCTTCTTTCCTTCTTTCCTTCTTTCCTTCTTTCCTTCTTTCCTTCTTTCCTTCTTTCCTTCTTTCCTTCTTTCCTTCTTTCCTTCTTTCCTTCTTTCCTTCTTTCCTTCTTTCCTTCTTTCCTTCTTTCCTTCTTTCCTTCTTTCCTTCTTTCCTTCTTTCCTTCTTTCCTTCTTTCCTTCTTTCCTTCTTTCCTTCTTTCCTTCTTTCCTTCTTTCCTTCTTTCCTTCTTTCCTTCTTTCCTTCTTTCCTTCTTTCCTTCTTTCCTTCTTTCCTTCTTTCCTTCTTTCCTTCTTTCCTTCTTTCCTTCTTTCTTTCTTTCCTTCCTTCCTTCTTTCCTTCTTTCCTTCCTTCTTTCTTTCCTTCTTTCTTTCCTTCCTTCTTTCCTTCCTTTTCTTTCTTTCCTTCTTTCCTTCTTTCTTTCCTTCTTTCTTTCCTTCCTTCTTTCTTTCCTTCCTTCTTTCTTTCCTTCTTTCTTTCCTTCTGTTTTTCCTTCCTTCTTTCCTTCTTTCTTTCCTTCTTTCTTTTTTTCCTTCTTTCTTTCCTTCTTTCTTTCCTTCCTTCTTTCTTTCCTTCTTTCTTTCTTTTTTGGAGGGGTGCACCTGTGTCCTCCACTGCCCTGCCCTGGTGCCGGTGCTGAGCTGGAGGATCCCCCCCAGCCCCCCCAGCACTCTGCACGGGCCAAGCCAGCAGGAAACACCAAGGTGGGGCTGCCTTCCTCCCCGTGCCACCTTTGCCCAAGGTCAGGGCGAGCAGTGACGCCTGCTTGTGCAAGGAAAAGTTAAGCAGTAACCTGGGAGGTGGCAGCCAGCAAGGCATCGGCGCTGGGGGGGGGGCCTGGCCGTGTGGGTACAGCTCACCCAGATTCAATCACAGAATTACCTAGGTTGGAAGGGACCTTTAAGATCATCTAGTCCAACGAAAAAAAAAAAAAAAAAAAAAAACCCCAAAAAAAACCCCAAAAAACCCAAACGAAACACACACACCAACACTAAACCATATTCCCGAGCACCATGTCAATTTGGCTTTTGAGTATCTCCAGGGATGGGGCCTCAACCCCTTCCCTGGGCAGCCCATTCCAAGGTTTAGGAACCCTTTCCATGGAGAAATTGTTCCCAATCTCCAATCTGAACCTCCCCTGGTGCAACCTGAGGCCGTTTCCTCTTGTCCCATCACCTGTGACTTGGGAGCAGAGACCGACCCCCCCGGCTACACCCTCCTTTCAGGGAGTTGGAGAGAGCCAGAAGGTCTCCCCTCAGCCTCCTTTTCTCCAGGCTGAACCCCCCCAGCTCCCTCAGCCTCCCCAGTGCCCAGGACAGGGGGACCATCACCTCCCCACACTGTTCCTGATCCAGGCCAGGATGCTGGTGGCCTTCTTGGCCACCTGGGCACACTGCTGGCTCCTGTTCAGCTGACAGGCGACCAACACCCCCAGGTCCTTTTCTGCCAGGCAGCTCCAGCCACTCTGCCCCCAGCCTGGAGCGCTGCAGGGGGGTGGTGGGACCCAAAACCAAAACTGTTGTTGTGTCTCCCCGCTGGTGCCCCTTCAAAAGCACATGGTGCACCCATGCAGGGACACGGGGCTGGGGCCAAGGACCATGGTGGGGGCACTGGTTGGCCTGGGGAGGATGGTGGGGAGGTGTGGGGCAGGGCTGAGGGCTGGCATGGGTGCAAGGCGGGCAGTGTGGGGGGCTGTGGGCACGGAGGCAGTGGCTGGGTGGGCTGCTGGAGGGGCCAGCACTGGTTCTCTGTGGGGCAGAGAAGGAGCATCACCGGGGTGTGGGGCAGAGGGGCTGGGCACTGGGGGCAGCGGGGTCTTCCAGGCGGGACGAGGCAGGATCCGGGGGCTCTGGGGGGGACAGACGTCGGGGTGCGATGGGGCAGGAGCAGGGGTCCCCCCGAGGGCCGGGGGTGCGGAGGCGGGGACCAGACCGGCCGCACGCCCCGGGCAGACCCCGGGGGGGGGCAGAGGAGGAAGGGGCGGCCCCGTCCAGCCCTGCCCACCCCTCCCGGGGCCGCCCCCGCCGCCTCGGTGCGGAGCCGAGCCCAGCCCGGGCTGAGCAGGGAGCTCCCGCCGCCGCCCGACGGGACGCGACCCTCGGGGGGCACCTGCCCCGCGCCCACCGGGGGCTTCCGCGGCACAACCGGGAGAGACCCCACACACCCCCCCGGGGTTTAAGGGTTAAGGACCCCGGGGCGGGGGCAGAGCCACGCGTGGAACCCGCGGCGTGGGAGACCCCCTCGGCGGGCGGGGAGTGGGGCTGGAGCCGGGCAGGACACCCAGCCCCGGAGGAAAAATCCCATCTGGGGGGTCCTGAGGCTGCGCCCCCGCTCGGGGGGCTTGAGGTGCGTGTGGAAAATGCCGAGTTTGCTGCAGTGCCCCGTTTGGGAAGGTTTTTTTCTTAAAAAAAATATGTAAAGCCTGGTTTTTAAATGTAAAACCAGAGCTGGTTTGCTCCATGGTGGGTCCCGGTGCACCCCCCCATCCTGAAGGGATGCCGCCGGTGCTGGGGTGGAGCGGGGTGGGGGGATGCCCTGGGCATCACCACGGGTCACCCAGCCGGGGTGGGGGGGAACCAGAAAGGGGGCAGGAGCTCTGCAGAGACCGAGGAGAGAGAGGGGCTTCTCCCCGCTCCCTGGGTTGGGACAGGTCGGTGGTGACCCTGACCCTGGTCACCTGGGAGAGGTGGCCCCGGGGTGGCCGGGTGCCAGGGGCAGGGTGGGGCGATCCCGGCATCGCTGCCTTCCCCGGCAAACGGCTTTTCATCAGTCTTAGCTGAAACTTAAACAAACCATAAAGCCCGGGCGCTGGCACTGGGCGGCTGGGCCCTGCGGCAGACGTGGGTGCTCAGAGGGTGCCGGAGGAACGAGGTGAGTGCTCTGTCTCCATTTCATCCTCCACAGCCCCTCGTGGGCACTGCTGCCTGGCCCCCACCCTGCTGCTCCCTGTCCCTCCTGGGGACTCTCCCACGGCTCTTTCCCTCCGGGCAGGACCTGGCAGGTGCTTGATTTTTCCTCCCCACATTTCCTGCTCGGAGGCAGAAGGCAGGGCAGGCTGGGTGGCCCCGTGCCCCGTCGACACCGACAGCCCCTCTCTGTGCCCAGGTGCCCACCGGAGCCACCGCGATGGAGCTGGGGAACATCTCACAGCCCGTGTACGGGCCTGGCCCCGAGGCGCCGGGGAGCAGCACGCCCGGCCTGGTGGGGATGGTGCATGGCTTCCTGCGGCTGGTGCAGCCCAACGCCCTGCCCACAGGTGGGTGCACGGCCGTGGGGGGCTGGCAATGGGGTGGGGGGGCTTGCTCGGAGCTGCAGGCTCCCAGTCCAGGCTCAGCCCTCCTGCACCAGTGACTGTCTGTCCGGCAGTTAAAGGGGGGGGTGCTGGGTTAGGAGGGCCATGGTGGGGGGAAACAGAGCGGGGTCCCCGAGCGCTGCCAGCTGTGTCCCATCACAACTGCGTGGCAGTCTCAGGTGGGCCCTCGGACAGGCTCTGGTGGCAGTGCCACCTTCCAGAGTCCTGCCCCATCCTCCCTCCCGCTGTCTTCAGCCCAGGCCCCGACACAAGGTGCAGATCACACCCGGCCACTTTGGGGGTCCTTGCCTGGCGTGCAGCCCCCCGTGCCTGCAGGGGACAAGCTGTGCTTAGGCAGGACCCAGCCGGGGGCCACCAAGAGAAGCATCCCATCCCCTGCGCACCCCCCTGCCCACCAGCGCTCGCCCCCCCTCCTTCGCCTCCCGGGGGAGGTGTCGCTGGCACAGCTCTGCCCCAGGGGGGCTGCGGGTCGGCACGGGGGATGCCAGGACCCTCTGGCTGCTCGATGCCCACCCAGGGCACCCCCCCGGCCTCTGACACTTGTGCTTCCTCCTTCCCTGGCCTCGCCCCCCCCCTCGCCAGCAGCTCGCAGGCAAATGTGTGGCTGGCAAACACCGCAATGGCTTTGTGGCCTTGTTTGTGTCACACAGATACCAGGGTAGAGTCATACGGCACCTTGTGTCATTGTGGCTTGTAACCGAGGCCATGGGGCATGGGCAGGGCGAGCCTTGGGGCTGAAAAGGGCAGTTTGGCAGGGGGACTTTACCCCGTTGCCCATCCCACGCTGGCAGTGCTGGCCGGGTGCCTGCCTGGGGCTGGGCTGCGGGACGTGGTTGTCAGAGCATCCCCCACTGAGTCCCCCTCTGGGGTGAGGATCCATGAGGTTCCATGGACCCCTGAGAACCCAGGGGCTGGCAGTGCTTTTCCTGGGTGCAAAAGGGCTGTGTGACGTGGTGGCCGGGGAGGGCCAGAGGGAAGAGACAAATATGCCATGGACTCACTGCCACTCTGAGTTACAGTGCTAGAGGTGATCCTCAGTGCTGGCAGCCCCTCTTTGGGGTGAACGGGGTGTGGAGTTCTCCTGGCAAGTCCCCCAGGGCCCAACACCAGCTCACAGGTCTCTCCACTCCCTGTTCCCCAGATCTGATTGCAGATTTTGTGCAGCCCCAGGATGAGGAGACCTTCAGGGAAAAATTCCAGGAGGTGAGTGGGCAGCCGGGGCAAGGAGCCGGCAGCCCCAGACCACCACGGTCTGGGGGATGCTGGTGGGTGCTGCTCCGAGGCTGAGCCTCAGGTGCTGGGCAGCAGCCAGGGGAGATGGTGCAACCCCCTTGTGGGACCCATCCTGCCCCGTGGGGAGAGCTGGGGAGCCTTCAGGGCCCCCAGCGTTACGCTGCCTCTCGTTCTTCCTCTACCAGCTGCTGCTCTACGAACTGGGTTTCCTGATCTGCGCGGCCATCGGGATCCTCTTCATCGTCCTCGTGCCCCTGGTGGGATGCTGCTTCTGCTGCTGCCGCTGCTGCGGGAACTGCGGGGGCCGCATGTACCAGAAGCAGGGTCGGCACACGGGCTGCCGGCGCCGGGCGCTTTGGGTCTCCGTCCTGCTGGTCTCGGCTCTCCTCCTGTGAGTGCGGCGGCGGGAGGCTCCGGATGGGACCCCAGGGCGGGTGGAAACGCCGGCGCTTGGCGGCCGTGCCAGGAAGCTGCCATTGTTCCCAGGAGCAGATCCCGGCGCGGCGGGACAAAGGAGAGGAAGCAGCGGCGGTGGGGGGCTGGCCCCGGGGGGCTGCACGTTGGCACGGTGCAGACCCTTCCCGACAGCTTCGCCGCGGGGAAATGTGGGTGCAGCAGGCACGGGGCTCCCCCGAGCCTCAGTTTCCATGTGCCTCCTCTCTGGTCCCTTGGGGGTGCGCAGGGCACTCGCAGGGATGCTCTGGAAGAGTGTGGTCTGGAGGGTGTGGGTGGGTTTGGAGGGTCCTGAGACAGGGGGGAGCATCAGGACTGAGCTCCCCACCACCCTGACCACCCTTCCCTTGCAGGGCTGGTGATGTCTGTGCCTTCATCAGCAACACCCGCTTCTCCCAGGCCGTGCATGGCACCTTCCCCAATGTCAACAACACCCTGGATGATGTCCACACCTACCTGGCCTCCATCCCCAAGGCACGTCTGGTCCCCCCGCCCCGGCTGGGGTGCCTGATGGTGGGGCAAAGAGCCCCCCTGGGGAAGAGTGACGGTGGGGCTGGAGGTGGGGAAGGGTCCCCACCTGCACTGACACCCTGTCTCTGTCCCTGCAGCAAATCAATTTTATCATCGACAGCAGTGAGGTCCCGCTGGGCCGCGCCAACCGCAGCCTCCAGGGTGAGGGTGTGCGGCAAAGGGGAGACTGAGGCACCCTGGGGTGCTTGGGGAGTGGGGGTGGCAGGGGGTGCTGCAGATGGTTGCTGACCCCTGGGGGGCACTGGGCTGGTTCTCATGGGGATGTCTAAAGGGGGTGGGTTTGAGGGCTCCTCCAGGCTCCCGCCCTGCTCCAGCTGCTGCTTGTCCCCATTCTGGCTCCTCTCTGTGAGGGTGATGCAGGTGTTGGCAGGACGGAGGGGGTCCATCTCTGCACACCTTGCCTGGAGAGTGGGTGTGGGATGGGGTCCCGGGGAGGACCAGTGCAAGCCCTGGGCTGTTCAGGGCAGCCTGGTCCCGCTGCTGGAGATCCCATCGTTGACATTGTCTCTCCCATCTCCACAGACATTGGGCCCAACTTGGGTGGCACGATCCTCTTGGGCATCAGGAGCAGCACAGACGGGGCTCTGGGGTCCCTCCAGAGCCTCTTGCAAGGTAGTTTCCCCATCCCTGGGGGGCTGGCAGGACCTTGGAGGGGATTCAGGGGGATGTTGGGGCAGGTACATGCCTGGGGGGCTCTAGCAGGATTGGGTAAGTCCCCCGGGGAGGCAGGTCCATTTGGCCACTCCAAGCCCCAGCCTGGGGCAAATGCTGGGATTTTGAAGGGGGTGCCCCTACGTTGTGTTTTTGGGATGGGTCCCCAAGGCTCAGCTGGGTGAGTACAAGCCCCCCCCGCACCGTGCTGGCAGGATGAAACCTGGAGCCCCCTCTGTTCTCCCCAGGGATGGAGACGCTGGCAACCACCTTTGGTGACATCACCAGCACTCGCTCGAGCCTCGAGGAGCTGCAGAGCAACTACAGCCAGCGGCTGGGCAGCCTGCGGGACAGCCTCAACAAGACCCTTCAGGACTGCGGTGACCCCTGTGGCAGCGTGTCCCTGGACGCCCTCGCCTTCAGCACCAACTTCAGCACGGTGAGGAGGGGCAGGGTGCGAGGTGAGGGGTCCCCACAAGCCCCTTCCCCAGCTCCCCCCCAGACCCCTCACCCCAGGCTCGTCCCCACAGATCCCCAGTGTGAAGCAGCAGCTGGAGGCATTGGGTAACGTGTCTGGCTCCAACATAATGTCGGATTTAGAGAAGGTAAATGGTCCCCCCTGCACCCAGGCTGAGGGCTGGGTGGTGCTGGGGCTGTGCTGCGAGGGGGTGGCTTGGGAAGAGCCCCGCCAGGAGTTGTGCTGGTGTTTGGAGGGATGTGCTGGTGGGAGGTCTGCCTCAGATGGAGCCTGCCCACTGTCCCCACCACTCCCGGGGGCTGGCACAGTCAGGGCTGGGGGCTGGGGGCTGGGGGCAGCCTGGCTGCCCTGTGCCACCGGGATCTGGTGATGGAGGGGATGTGCTGCTCAGCCCTGGGCTGCAGGCGGGGGTGTGAGCTGTACCCCATGCCCCCCTGCACGCAGGTTAACAGCACGCTGGAGGAGACCCCTGCCAAGGTGCAAGAGCAGTCCCAGGAGGTGGTGACAAGTAAGCAGGGCTTTGTGCCCCGTGTGCCAAATTCCCCCTCTTCCAGGTCTCCATATCCCTTCTCATCCCATCCTTGCCTGGAGACCTCCCCTGCTACCACCCCGCTGCCTGCAGCCCTGGCTGTCCCCAAGTCCCTGTGTGCTATCATGCTGATGCCATCCTTGACCGAAGCCACCCCTTTCCCACCCTCTCCCAGTTCCTGCTGCCCCAGGCTCATCTGCCCCAGGTGAGCAGGACCTGGGCAGCAGTTCATGGCACCAGCCTGACCCCATCTCCTGCAGAGACCCAGGACCAGCTGGGCCGCATCAGGCAGGAGATCAGGAGCTTGCAGGAGGAGTTGCCGTTCCCGGACATGGAGGAGAATCTCGGGGACGCTGTGAACAATGTCACGTCAGGGTTGGAGCACTACAGGGAGCCGATCATCAGCTTGGATAATCTCAGGTTAGGCGAGGGGCTGCTGCATCCCCCTGCTCCCTTGTCTGGAGAGGCTCAGGCTCTTGATCCTCTGGTTTCTGGAGCTGGGAACTTCCTTGGTGGTGGGGGTGTGGGTGCAGGGTAGCCAGAGACGTGCCTTGCAGCCACCTGTGCCCCTTCTTTACCAGGGTGCCTGGGGGGCTATTTCCTCCCCAAGAAGGCTGGGGGGTTGGTGGGATGCCAGGTCCTGCTGTCTGACTCTTGCCCCTCCTCTTGCCCCAGGTGGAGCATCTGTGTCTTCCTGTGCTGCACGGTGCTGCTGGTGGCCCTCTGCAATGTCTTCGGGCTGCTGCTGGGGCCCCTGGGGCTGAAGGAGGACGTGCTGCCCACGCAGCGCAGCAGCCTCTCCAATGCTGGCGGAAACTTCTTCATGGCGTGAGGCTCCCTCGGCTGCCGAGGACACGGGGGAGCGGTGGGACGGGTGGGCAGGGCTGGCCTGGGGATGCTCCAGCTGCTAAATCATCAAATTACTATGGCTTAGTGGCCTGCCCCATCGCAACTCACCGTGCAGGTGGTAAAGGCGAGGGTAAAACATGGTGTCGGTGAAAGGCGTTTGATCGGAGCCCATTTGTCCCTCGCTGGAGGGTGCCTGTCAGTGTGTGTGTGGTACCTGTGACCCTGCAGGAGGGTGGTGGCTTGCAAAGCTGGGGAAGATGTGCTGGAGTCTGAGCCCCAGGGTACAGCCCGGCTGTGTTCTGCGGGCTGAAGGCAGAGCAGAGACATGCTTGTGGGGAATGGTGGTGCTTCCCATCGCTCCTGGGGGGGCAAAGGGTGGGCAGGCTCTGAGCTCTGCCAGCTGGAGGCAATGCTATCTGTCACTGACGCCGGGGCACGGGGCCTCGGGTGCTGATGGTTCCTCTGTCCTGGCAGAGGGGTCGGCTTCAGCTTCATCTTCTCCTGGCTGCTGATGCTGCTGGTGCTGGTCACCTTCTTGCTGGGGGGGAACATCTACGTGCTCGTCTGTGAGTCCTGGCGCAGCCAGCAGCTCTTCCAGGTGAGGTCCCCATGGGGAGACATCCCTGCCCAGAGCCACTGCAGGTGGAGCAGAGGCAGCAGTGGCTGGTTCGGGATGCTCTTCCCAGGCGTCCTGCCCTGCACTGTGTCTAGTTTCTTCACCTTCTCCCTTGCTCTCAGATTCTGGACACCCCAGGCCTGATCCCTGGCTTCAACCTGTCGGAGCTGCTGGGCCAGGAGGGTGGCACAACAAACTTCTCGGAGATTTACAGGTGGGTCCCAGTCCCAGCGTTGTGGTTTTGGGGAGGGGTACAGCTGTTCAGTGTCCCCGGGTGCTCCTTGGGGTGGGAGCAGCTTGGCCTGCCTGCCCTGGCTGCGGGCAGGCGCTGATGCCAGGGAAGGAAGGAGGTGCCACTTGCCTGCGAGGGTGAGGATGTGTTCCTGGGACGGGGTGGCCCTCGCTGGCCTTTTCAGCCCTTTCCTCCTGCAGGCAGTGCCAGCAAAACGCTGCCCTGTGGCAAACACTGCACCTGGACCAGAGTGTGTCTCTAGACGAGCTCTTGAACATCAGCCAGGTGAGTGCCAGGGCCTGGGGGGCAGAGCTGGGGGCACAGGGCTGGCACTGACGGGACAGTGAGGGGCTGGCATTGTGGCCCATCACGGCTCTCCTTGCTCTGGCAGTATACAGGAGAGATCTCCACAGCCTTCGAGAAGGTGAACATCACCCTGAGCCCCATCTCCCTGCTCAGCCAGACACAGAAAGACTTGCTGCTGAAAACCAGCCAGGATGGGCAGCCCCCGAACTTCACCTCCACCCTGGAGCAGGTGGGCTGGTGTTGGGATGGAGGGGTCCGGATGTGTGTTGAGGATGTCCCTTGCCCTCTTCCCTTTGCTGCCGTGGGAGTCCCACCACAGGCTCCCAGGGTCTCCCCTGCCATCCATGTCAGCCCCTGGAGCAACCGGGCATCTCCTCCACCTGGGAGGCCCTGGCTCCACTCTGCCCTGCAGGGATGGGGTGCAGCCCCGCTGTGAGCCCCATTCCGCGTTCTCATGGCTCTGTCTCTGCTTTTTCCAGCTGGATAAGAACATAACCCAGGGAAGCCTCCTGGATCTGGCCACAAAGCTGGAGCAGCTGGCAGACAAAGCGGTGAGAGACCATAGCACCCTAGGGCCATGGCCACCCTTCCCCAGAGCCACTGGCTGTTGGAGCTCCTCCGCAGACCTGCCTGGGTGCCAAGGGAAGGCGAGGCCCTTCACCCTTGCCCAGCTCTTTCCTCCAGCCCAGCCCTCCATCAGATGGATGTGGTGGGGCTGGGACCCTGTGCCAGGGGGACACTGCTGACTGCAGCTCCTCCAGGACATGGATGTGAAAGACAAACTGAAGGCTGATGCTCTCAGTCTGAGGGAGCTGGACAAGGAGATGCAGAAGAGCTTCTCTGGGCTGCTGGTGAGCAATACCAGGGTGGAGAAGGTCCTGGGGGTGCTGGCTTGGCCTCCCCCAGAGCTCGGAGGCTGCTGGTGGGGTGTCAGCAGGGCCATGGGGTCTGTGCCTCTGACCACCCCTCTTTCCATTCCCAGCAAAGCCTGAAGGAGAACATCCATGTGGTACAGAGTGGGGCTGCCCTGCTCGAGGTAAGCGGCACAGGGGGGGACCTCCTGAGCGTACCCCACTCAGGAGCACTCTGCAAAGAGCCCTTGAGGTCCTGCGGTGGGGGTGGTGGGGGCCAACCTACAGTGTGGGGGGGCCTGTGGCTGCCGTGGGACTCCCCAGTCATCCCCATGGGGCAGAAGCAGGGGGGGCCATGTCACAGACCCTGCCAGGCACAGGTTCCCTCCACCCGAGGCACCGTGCCAGCGTGGGATGGGCACTGGGGTAAAGTCCCCCTGCCAAACTGCTCTTTTCAGCCCCAAGACTCGCCCTGCCCATGCCCCATGGCCTCGTTACAAGCTGTGATGACAAAAGGTGCCGTGTGACTCTACCCTGGTATCTGTGTGACACAAACAAGGCCACAAAGCCATTGCGGTGTTTGCCAGCCACACATTTGCCTGCGAGTTGCTGGCGAGGGGGGGCCGAGGCCAGGGAAGGAGGAAGCACAAGTGTCAGAGGCCGGGGGGGTGCCCTGGGTGGGCATCGAGCAGCCAGAGGGTCCTGGCATCCCCCGTGCCGACCCGCAGCCCCCCTGGGGCAGAGCTGTGCCAGCGACACCTCCCCCGGGAGGCGAAGGAGGGGGGGCGAGCGCTGGCGGGCAGGGGGGTGCGCAGGGGATGGGACACTGCTCTTGGTGGCCCCCGGCTGGGTCCTGCCTAAGCACAGCTTGTCCCCTGCAGGCACGGGGGGCTGCACCCCAGGCGAGGACCCCCAAAGTGGCCGGGTCTGATCTGCACCTTGTGTCGGGGCCTGGGCTGAAGACAGCGGGAGGGAGGATGGGGCAGGGCTCTGGAAGGTGGCACTGCCACCAGGGCCTGTCCTGGGCCCACCTGAGACTGCCACGCAGTTGTGATGGGACACAGCTGGCAGCGCTCGGGGACCCTGCTCTGTTTCCCCCCACCATGGCCCTCCTAACCCAGCACCCCCCCCTTTAACTGCCGGACAGACAGTCACTGGTGCAGGAGGGCTGAGCCTGGACTGGGAGCCTGCAGCTCCGAGCAGCCCCCCCCACCCCATTGCCAGCCCCCCCTCCCCATTGCCAGCCCCCCACGGCCGTGCACCCACCTGTGGGCAGGGCGTTGGGCTGCACCAGCCGCAGGAAGCCGTGCACCATCCCCACCAGGCCGGGCGTGCTGCTCCCCGGCGCCTCGGGGCCAGGCCCGTACTCGGGCTGCGAGATGTTCCCCAGCTCCATCGCGGTGGCTCCGGTGGGCACCCGGGCACAGAGTGTCCCATGCACCATCCCCACCTGTGGGTGCACCCACATGCTCCATCCCGTGACTGCTGGGGACACCACAGCTCAGAGGAGCTGTGCCTTGGGGACTGCTGCCGGGCAAGGTGGGGGAGATGTGGAAACTCCACTTTCCCTGTCACGCTGCTGAGAGCACCTTTCATCCCAGGAACAGACAAGAACGGCACTGGACAAAGCCACCGAATCCCAGGAGTTCCTGGACAGGGAGATGGCAAACATCATCAAGAACGTGAGCTTGCCTTGCGCTGCTGCTGGGCCACACAGTGGGGATGTGACTGGACCCCCCCCACCAAGGTCTCCCTCTGTGCAGGGATGCCAAGCAACATCTGGCTGCTTGTCCTGCCCTGTCATCTTCCCCGGGGGTCCCCCGCATCGCTGGGTACCCCCTTCCCTTATGGCATCCCAGGGAAGGGACTGGGTTGGGGCTTGCAGCCTCATTGTTGCTGGGTTGAGGTGGTCTGACAGCCTTGTTCTTGACACTGGGGGGGGACATGGTCTGTGGGGTGGGCTGGGGGTGCAGCATCTCCACTCTCTGCTTGCTCACCCTCAGGAGACATGGGCCTTCCTGGAGAAGCTGTTGGACTTCTTTGAAACCTATGTCTCCTGGGCCAAAAGCCGTGTGAGTTGAGCCATCCTCCGTGGGATGGAGGGAAGTGGGGGGACAGGCTGCAGGGGTTTGAGGACACTGACATGTCCTATTCACACCATGTCCCCAGCTGACAGAAGATGTGGCACGTTGCAAGCCCATAGCTCAGACCCTGGATAACATGGAGGACATCACCTGCGACTACATCCTGGACTCTCTGGTGAGCGGGGCAGTGGTGTGTGGGGTGGCAATGATGTCCCCTTCTCCCCCTCATGCACAGGATGAGGGGTACCCATCTCTGTCCCAAATGAGCAGGGCTGGGCATCTCCCCAGCAGATTGCGGTGGCTAAGGGCAGAGGCCAGGCTGGGAGAGGAGGTGGGTGGGGTGGTCTTTGGTGGGGCCTGAGAGCAGAAGAGGCTCTCCCAGTCACAGTCTGGGCACTGATGGCTCTCCCCCCGCACCCAGAACGCCTTCTGGTTCAGCCTGGGCTGGTGCACCTTCTTCCTGCTGCCCAGCATCATCCTGGCCGTCAGACTCGCCAAGTTTTACCGCCGCATGGACATTGCAGATGTCTACAGGTGAGGAGCTGTGTGCCCCCTGCAGCCACACTGGCTCTGGGGTGTGTCCCCCCCCACTGCAAACCACCCCTTCGTGTGCCCCACAGCCGTCTGTGGGGCTGGCCCTACGGTAATGCAGGCTGGGGGGGGTCAGGCAGGGAGGTGGCTTGGGACCTTCAGCCTCTGAGAATGGAAATGTTTTGGAGAAGAGCCTGGCTCTGCCTGCTCTGCAACCCTCCTTTGGGCAGCTGAAGGGGCATGTGACTCCCCCCCCCAGAGGAAGGAGCCCCACTTGCCTGGCAGGGCTGTAGCCCCCAGGCTGGTTTGGGGGGGTCCACCACCTGACTCACTCCACAGAATGCTATGGGGTTGGAAGGGACCTCTGGAGATCATCCAGTCCAACCCCCTGTCAAAGCAGGGCCCCCCAGAGCAGGTCCCACAGGAACGTGTCCAGGTGGGGTTTGAATGTCTCCAGAGAAGGAGACTCCACCACCTCTCTGGGCAGCCTCTGCCAGGGCTCTGCCACCCTCACAGCAAAGAAGTTCCTCCTCCTGTTCAGATGGAACTTCTTCTGTTCAAGTTTGTGCCCATTCCCTCTTGTCCTGTCCCTGGGCACCACTGAAAAAAGCCTGGCCCCATCCTCCTGACACCCACCCTTGAAGTATTTATAGGTGTTGATCAGATCCCCCCTCAGCCTTCTCTTCTCCAGACTAAAAAGCCCCAAGTCCCTCAGCCTTTCCTCAGCAGAGAGATGCTCCAGGCCCCTCATCACCTCTGTAGCCCTCTGCTGTCCCCTCTCCAGCAGTTCCCTGTCCTTCTGGAACTGGGGAGCCCAGAACTGGTCCCCTTTGCACCATTTTTTGTGCACTGCAGAGCCGGACACCACAGAAGGCGATGCTCTGCACGGCTGGCGGCGTTGCCACGAGGGTGCAGTGCTCACTCGCACACCCACGGCTGCCGGCACCCCCAGCCCCCGGGGGCCCTTTCCCTGTCCCTCCGGGGACCCGTGGCAGCCCCACCGCCAGCACAGCCGTGACCCCTGAGGGCACCGAGTGGTTCCCATTTGGATTTCCGACGGCTGAGGGCCGCAGCTTGGCCCTGCTGTGCCATTTGCTGGGGGTTCCCCTGCTCCAGGGCTGCAGTTTCCCTGGGGGAGCTGGGGTTTGCAGCCCCCCTGTGCCCCATCACTGCCCAGCCAGCCTTCCTCCCCCTGCCTGCCCCACTCCTCCTTGCCCCGTGTCCCGGCTCTCTCGGGACCCACACCGGGGTTGTATGGGGGGTGTGTGGGACGTGGCGCTGTGCCCTGCCAGCAGCATGCCCAGGGTCCCCACCGGTGGCCCCAGTACCTTTCAGTTCCCCCTGCAGCTGGTGGCTGAGCCGGCTGGAGACACGGGCTCAGCTGCCAGGGAAATTTGGGGAACTGAAATGGTGGCACGAGGGAGCTGTGTGCCACTGAGCCAGGGAGCACGGGCCCCGCTCTGCCGGCCTGGGGAGGGAGCAGTGATGCTCAGGGGGGCAGCAACATTTGGGGGGGCTGTAGGAGCCCATGCTCTGTGTCCAGATGGGGCAGCAGGGATGGCGGGGACCACAGCACCCTGCAGCCCCCCGTGTCCTCATTGTACACCCCGGGGAACACCATGTCCCACGGGGAGGTGCTGGGCTGTCTCAGGAGGCATCTTCACACCCCACTGACACTGTCCCCTCTTTTTTCTCTCCTCCAGGAATGAAGTCTTGGAGGTGTAAGTAGCAGTGTCCGGTCCCCGTGTGGGGTCTGGGGCAGCTCCTGTGGCATGAGGGGGGACAGGGCACAGAGGGAGGGGGGCAAGAAGTTGAACAGAGTGCAGGGCAAGGAGGGTGCTGGTACCAGGGAAGGACTGGGAAGGTGGGACCTGTGCACCATAGATTGTTCTGGGGTCCCCCCCATCATCTTCTCACGCTCCTAAGTTTGGGGGGGGCTGCTGCTTCCAGTGTCCCCCAAGCTGCTGGGGTGGTGTCTCCATACCTTCTCTCCTGTGGGGCTGGGTGACAGAGGTGGGATGAAATTCGTCCATTCCAGCGCATCCTGAGCCGTTCCTTGCTCGCCTCTGTGGCTGGGGGGGTGACACAGGTGACCTTGGTTTTGCAGGCCACCCGCCTTCAACTTGTACAAAATCCCTCGGCCAAGCACGAGGCATTAGCCGCTGTCGCCCACAGCAGGGGCATGGAGGAGATGGACACGGCTGCTCCGTCTGCTGCGCCTTCTCCCTGGCTGCTGGGGAGCAGGTTGGGACCCTTCGGCTGAAACCCCCTCCCCGATTCCCCTTCTGTAATGATGCCCCCGTGTACGTATGGGTGGGCTGCCCCTTGCACTGCCCCAGGTGGGGCTTCACCCTCCCCAGACCCTGGGGGCTCAGGGCAGCTTGTACTCTCCATCCCATCGCAGCCGATGCTGCAGGCCAGCAGGAACTTGCTCACCCAGGCCCCTCGCTCAAAAAATGTGACTATTTATTTTTGTGGGGAGCCTGACTCTTTCCAAGGCTGTGATTTTTTTTTTTTTTTTGGTGTCAAATAATAAATGGGGTGTTTGTGTGCACTGCAGGCACGTGGCTGTGCTCTTCACGTCCGGCTGCGATGGAAGGATGCAGGGGTAAGGGCTAGGAGCCCTCCCCACTGCTGGCACAAGCTGGGGCTGTGCCTGGGACTAGAGGGCTCTTGCTGGGGGTCCCCAGGTGTGCTCTGCCCACAGCCTGACCTCGGAGTCCTGACCCAGCCCATGCGTCAATGCAGGACCACTGCTCAGCATCTCTGTGGCTGGGTGACATCCCACTCACCGGGCAGCCCTTTGCACCTGTGGCTAATTCCAGGTCTTTCCCTGGGAAAAGCCATGCCCAAAGTCCATGAGGTGCCCCCCTCCCTCTTCCCCCCCAGCACACGGGCACTTCCCTGTGCCCTCCAGTGACCCTGCTGTGTGTCATCTGTGGGTTTCCAGTTAGTTTATGGGGCGCCTGCAGCCCACACCTCCCTCCCTCTACCGGGGATGGTGACACGGGGAATTCCAGTGTCCATTCCTGCATGTCCCACACTGCTGCCTGGCACGGATGGGCACGTGCCCAGAGAAGCCAAGGGCAACCTGGTCCGTGGCCGTGGTGGGGGAGTGGAGGTGTTGCTTTGTGCTGCTCCTTGGTGCAAGCACAGGGCCCATGCCCACGGACGGGTCAGGCACAGGGGACGTACGTGAGCTGCTTGACTCATTTCCTCCATCGCAAATTCCAAGTCTCTCCGGAGCGAGCGCCGGGGCCGAGCTGGCCAGCTCGCCCTCCGCTACGTGCATCTGCTTTATCGCTTTTTCCATTTGCCTTCAGATCTTCTAATCGCTATTTTTTCCTTCGAGGCGTTATCTGAAGCCGCACCAGCCTTACCTCCTGCTATCTCCCCCCAGCACCCGTCCTGCCCGCAGAGAGAGCCCCACGCTTGCCTATCGCTCGCTGAATCTGTCCTGCTCGGTGGCTCGGCCCCTGCCCCCCCCCGGGGGATGCCCACCCTTTCTGGTCCCCAGGGCGGGATTTCCCAGCACCCCCATGGAGAGAATTTAGCTGGTTTGTCTCCACTCGCTCTGTCTTTGCTCTCCCCCCACCCTAAACCCTCAGCCTCCCGAGCTGTGACTTTTGTGCTTGTTTAGGGGGTGTGTGGGGGGGTTTTCATCCCCAAGCCCCAGGCTGTCCCCAGCACACAGTGTCTCCCCCTTCCTCTTCCCTTGCTGTGCTTTGGGGACACCATCCCATGCGGGGCCGCTGCTGCCTTCAGCTCCTGCTCCCTGGCTTTGCAGGCACTGCTCCTTCCTTCCCTGCTCAGCCTCTTCCTCTCCGCAGAGCTAGCCCTGGGCGACAGGGAGCTTGACTCTCCTTGTTCTCTGTGGCCACCCAAACCCAGCCCTGGTGATGAAAACCTCCCCCCAAATTACTGCACAGCCTCTGCTGCGGGGCTTGCTCTCAGGAGCTCCCCACTCAGCCCTGCCCCAGGGCAGCAGCCCGGTCCGCGGAGCCGCAGCTCTGAGAGGGGCCTGGGTCCATCCTCCTCCTCCTCCTCCTCCTGAGCAGCCCTGGGAGGCGGGTGAGAGCGGTGGCAGACAGGTCCAGGAGCTGCTGGGGGAGAGGTGAGGACACTGCAAAATGCCCACGGTGGCTGTGTCCCACAGGTCTCCTGTCGGGCCAGGCTGCCCGTGCACACACAGGAGCAGCAGCCACCAGAATCCACTTCCCTTGTGTGGGAGGGAAACTCGCAGCACCCACAGCCGCAGCCTCACCGGCAGCCGGCCAGCCTCTACAGAACCGTTGCAGCAGTTCCTCTTCCCCTTTGCCAGACTTTTTTTTTTTTTCCACCACAGGGACTTTCTGCAGCCGAGCCCTTGTCTGGGGGAGGCCTCGGCACATCTTCACAGCCCTTTGACAAACCACAGTCCCTCCAACGGCAGCTCGGTGTGCCCAGGGCAGCAAGCTCCCACCGGGGAGCTCCCTGGTGCTCCCTACTGCTAATTGTCCAGCCAGGAACAAGAAGACAAATTGCAGCTCTTGAGAAAAAAAACCCAACCCTTTCCTTTCCTCAACCTTAGGAGGTTCAGCCTCAACTCAGCCACAACTTCCCCAAGAAGCCCAAATGGCCTTTGGGGATTGCTGGTGGCACCAAGCAGCTGCAGAGAGGATGGGAGCAAAGCCCAGGTAGGTCTTCTTGCTCCCAGCAACGCGTGGGCTTGCCTTTGCCAAACCGTGCACTGGCTGGGATGGCCCTTCTGGGATGGTGACCTGCCTGCCAGTGCAGAGTCCTGCCCCCATGGCTTCCAGCTGGGTCTGTGAGCTCAGCCCATCCCACCAGAACCACGGTGAGTTGAGCTCGGCCACTTTTCACCAGAAGCAAAAATGAAACTCTCCTCCTTCCGAGGGCGTGCGTCCTCACAACATCTGCCATAACCCCAGCACTGCTTTTGGAACCTTTATTTTTAAAAGGAGTCTGTCTTCCACACGTAACCCCACTGGGAAGAAGACTGATGCAGGTGAATTCCCCCCCTCCATCCCATCCCAGCCAGGCTCTGCCAGCCCGGTGAGGTAAGAGAGAGCAGCTCCTTCACACCACAGCCCCAAATGCAGGGGCAAAGCCACAGCCAGGGTCCCTCTCCCAGGGGAGGGGGCCAGGGAGTGAGCACCGGGGAGGCCAGAACCTGGATCTTCCTGCAGGACTGCTCTTGAGTTACACCGACTTTGCAAACAAGAGGCACAATATGAGCCAGACAACCCTGACAAAGCCCCTTTGTGTGCTAAGGGCAAAGGTAGAGGAGATGGGAACAAGAGGGCCTGGGCGTCCTGCAGCATAATCTAAGCTTCCACAAAGGAAAGGGAGAGGCAGGGCCAGCCCCAAGCTCACACGGGCTGCTGCCAGCTTCTCAGCTCAGGAGAGAGTTTGGGTGCCGTCTGGGATGGAGAGATAAGGGAATTAGGCTGCTCTCTTCGGCTAAGTAGCTGCAATCAGTCACAGCTACAGGACTGATCCCAGAGGAATTGCAGGGAGACAGCGTGAGGAGTGCTGCAGCTGCCAGTGCGTCTGCTGGGACCCCCAGTGCCCCCGAGCTCAGCCACACTGGCATTTAGCATCTGACTGAACCCAAAGCAGCAGGACTCAGACCCCACTGCAAGGAACGTGCCCAGTTTCTCACAGGGGCACTGTGCTGGAGGCACCACCCAACCCACGGGGCACAGAATGCCCTCCCACGGGGAGGAGGGAAAGGATTGTGTCCCCCCCCTGCCCACCACCACTCCGAGAGGATCGGGGAAGTTATAAAGGAGCCAAGCAAACCAAAAGCCAAAGTGCTTTGAGCAAGGGAGCAGTTGTGCAGTCCCATAGTGCAGCCAGCACCTTCATCTGCAAACGCACCCGGCGTTTGCTCCTCCGCCGGGACACGCACACACCATTGCACTTGGTAGAAACAGCCAGAAAGGCCACCCTGGCTTCAGATGAGATCCCCCAGCCCCAGCCCCCCAGCTCTTGGAGGTGCTGCCGTGGGGAGGCTTCAGAAAGGAGCAGGCTTCCATGCTGCCAGGCAGGGCAGGATTTCCTAGGGTGGATGAGGCTTTCCCTTCCTCGTGCACCCAAGGCTTGGGATCCCGTTGTGCTTCTCCCCCCCCCCTCTTCACACTGCCTCACCCTGTACCAGCGCCGAGGGGGAGGAAGTCCTTGCCATGGGTGGCTGAGGAGCATCATCAGCTGCTGCTTTGGAGGGGATCCTGTGCTCTCGGGGAGGGGTGGGAGGGGGGAAGGTGGGGCTCTGCAAGGCATCGGAGTACATCTCGTCCTGGACGCAGGGACGCTGCACAACCCTTTGCAGCAGTGGCTTCAGCAAGCCTACAGTCAGCTGGTTCCCCTCGCTGGAGAAGGGCGCCGGGTCCTCCTGGGAGCGAGGGAGGTGCTGCAGGACCACGGTGAGGATGTCGGAGGCGGTGAGCTCAGGAGGGCACAGCGGCCACAGCGTCTCCAGATAAGGGTCCAGCTCCCGGTGCTGGGCAAACTCTGCCAGCAGCGTGGTGAATATCTCCTTGTTCAGCAGGGGGCTGAGCTTGGAGAACTTCTCTGCCACCTCCACCACCCGCTGCCACCGCTTCAGGCAAATGAGGAGGTGCAGAGCTTGCAGCACGGCCTTAGGCCTCTTGCTGCAGAGCAGGAGTTCGAGCTCCATCTCATCATCTGCCTCGCTGCGCTTGTTCTTCCTGGCCAGTACTCCCAGTGCTCTCTTGTACAGCGGCACCCGGCCCTCCGGGCCCTCCTTGCTGCTGTACCCCCAAGAGATGCTAACGTACTGCTGGGTCAGCTCCACGAAACTGGGCAGCCATTTGGGTTTGAACCTCAGGAAGGAGGTACAGATGAGCTCAAAGAGTGGCACCACTCCATTCTGACCCACCTCCTCCTGCTGTGGCCCTCCCAGGACCTTCTTCCACACCTCCGGGGTGGCCCTGGCTACCAAGAGGCCATCCCCATTCTGCTGCAGCTGCAGGCAGCTCCTCGTAGCCTTCCAGGCAGCTTTGGGGAAGGAGGCAAAGATGGAGTTCAGGTAGGCCAAGTTGTCCTTGTCCATGTCAGAGTGCAGAACGCGGCTGACCTCCTGCTCTATCAGCTCCTCGCAGTAGCTTTCCACTTCGCTCTCTGGGGCACACACCACACAGGTCTTGAGGAGCTCCAGGCTCATGTAACTCTGCAGCTCCAGGCTCATTGTGCCCAGCAGCTTGGCATAAGTGTCTTGGAGGCCTCGGGTTGGCTTCTGCTTCTGGTGGAGGCTGTGCTGCAGTATGGCAGCGAGGGCCACAGGAGCCTGGAACACACCTCCTTTCTTCAACTTCTCCACCGTCAGCTTGGAGCTGCTGAGGCTCCTCCTCTGGTAGTACTTGCAGGCCTCCTCGAACACCATCTCCACCAGGCATGGCTCAGGTCTGCTGCTGTCCTCAGGTCTGGAGAAGCTAAAGCTGTAGATGCCAGTCTGAGTGAGGAGCTGGATGCTGTCCTCCTCTCCCGGAGACTCCAGGAAATGCACCTCT